GTGAAGATAACATGAATTACCATTGGCAGAGAAGTTGAGAGAGTGCTTCGCTGATATAAATTATTTTTAAAAAGTCAAAAACCTGTTCTAGTTACTAACGAAAAGCCCTTCAGGAGGTATTTCAATATTGGAAAGGGGTCAAAAGATGTCTAAACATTACCGTGGAAGAAGTGTTACATAAGCAAAGAAGGCAAACTCAAGAAAAGGAAGTCCTTGAAAACACTTTCAAGAAACTGGCTAAATATAAAGGCAATCAGAAAGGCACTTTGGGTCATAAGAAGAGAATGGTTTTATCTCTTTGGCACTTAGGAATCCCTGAATCAGACTGAAAGATATTCCAAGTTTTCTGCCACTTTTGTCACAGTTTGATTATCTACAGGAAAAGGCTGTATTTTATTTCTATTTGTGTCTTTCAAGTCCTAGCACTATGTTTCACACAGCAGTGTTGTCTGAATCTACCGTGAACAGAAAAAAATTGCAAATTGTTATTTATTTTTGTGTCTTATTTTCCTACTTCTTCTTAAAGAGATCAGATTGTCCTTCTTGGTTCTCTACACAGAACCTAATAAAATACTATGTGTGGAGACTCCTTAAATTGTTAGTTTGAATTGAGTTGAACAGGAAATCTTAGGAAAGAAAAAACAAAAACAAGACAGCCCAGTCCACTTTATTTCAATTAGCTGCTTAGTTATTGCAAAACTTTGGATAACTCACCTAAATATACAGTACTCTATTTTCTTCATCCCTTAAATGTTAATAATGATGTATACATTTGCCTCCTAGTGTTCATGTGTAAATAGTTAATGAATTTTGTAAGAGCTTGGAGAATGCTTAAGAAGAATACTATTAATCATCATCAGTAGCAACAGAAGAAAGGACAAGGTAGGTGTGGATGTGTGTGCGATTGTATGGTGAGACAAACATGTTCCTTGCCCTTTGAGAAATGTTAATCAAAAATGGAAAACACATCAAGAAGTAACCTACTCAGAGAAATGTACCAAAGGTACTGGAAAACAAATGTCAAAGCAAGATTGTGACCTTCCAGGTAACAATACAGAATGGATTTAACATAGTAAATAAACCAATTATATATGGAAAAAATTATTTCTGCTCTGGTATACATTAGGTGGACTTGGTGCCAACTCATTGACAATTAGCAAAAAAAGGATATATAAAGATCAAATCCAGACACGTAAAGAAATGTAAGGTTCCCAAAGTATCCTGAATTGAGTAGACAGCTACACTGGAACCAAAATAGAGTGTGGAGCCGTGTGTGTGTGTGTGTGTGTGTGTGTGTGTGTGTGTGTGTGT